ACTTCGCTGGTAATGTGACTGAATCACAGTTACACAGAATTTACAAAGTTTAACAACCTTTGGATCCGACATTGCGAAGCTTGTTAATTTTTATTGTACACTTTATTCGGAATTATGTGGTTGGAATGTCATAAACCTATTCCTATGCCAAAAATTCCCACTCATTTATAAGTTTAACAAGCTATTAGCATTTACCATCAAACCAGTAGCCTGAACAGTTTCGAATCAAAAACAGGTCACAATAAGTCGTATTTTTCCGCTAAAAATAGGACCAAGTTTTCTATTAATAAAGGCAACTTATACATCTAGGTATGCTAAGATTGTAAATCTAGGACGGACAATATTGTTACGAAGAAAAGCGAAAGTCGTTGCATAGTATATATCAAACTAAATATGTCGGCTAAATGTCAATTGAATCCGAAATTCCTATTCAGTACATCCACTAATTTACTTTCATTTGTCCATAATGCATGGATTGATATGCGTAGGAGGTTGCTTAATGGGAAAATGCCAAGGGAATGAGCAGTTTTTTTTGCATATTGGATACATAATGATGCTTAAAAATCCGCGCACCTAAACTTAATGACAAATAAACTACATCGCTTTTGATAGTATGTATGCAGTGTGTTAATTATTTCATTAGTTGCAGGGCTGAACTTTATGGTATGATTTCCTGGGTAATTTTTAAACGAAAACTTCATTTCAATATGGCTTCATGAGATTCCTACAGGGCATAAAACTTTAATGTTTGTTTTTTCTAGAAATTATTTAAAGTAATGATAATATACAAATTTGGGTTTAATTTACATGCGAAATTCGAATTTTATTGCAACTTAAAGTTCTATACATCGAAAAAAAAAACACCCCTTATTAACTTTTCCGAACACCTGATATGCTTTTATATCGTTTTATATTCGTTAGTATAAATTAACTTTTGATCCATGCCTTCGTTATGGGGCCAACACGTTCAAAAGGCGTTTATAAAAAAGTCAAAATAGCGTTTCGTCGCTTCGTTTAAGCGTTCGCCGTACTAAAATAAACCTTGACCGGATGTGTAATAATTATGTTCCCATTTTAATTTAACACGTGTAATTACAACGCGAAAACCTGCGTAATATCGCCAGCTTAAATGTTATTACTTTCGTCCGTTCGTTTATGCTACGCGAATATTATTTTCGTTTCTGTTTGAATAGGTAAAGTTCGTCTCAACAATATTCTTGATTGCAATAAATAATACCCGTTAACAAAGTGTCGCTTAAAGACGTTACCGGATTTTATATTTTCAGCAGTGACCCAAAAAGTAATGGGTAAACAGAATTGTGTGCAACACGTTAATAAACTACTCCAGTCACTCATTGCCTTGGAAATATGTCAAAGTATATCCTATTCTCAAAAAAGGTGGTCCCTCTGTTGTTGAAAACTACCGGCCTATTTCGATCTTGTGCAACTTTTCTAAAATATTCGAGATTATATTAAATAAATTTATTTTTGCTCAAATTAGAAATAAACTATCTACGCAACAACAACAACAAGTTGACGTTATATACACTGACTTCCACAAAGCATTTGACCAGATAGATCATCACTTACTGATTGAAAAAGCATCTCATAAATTTGGTTTCTCTGATTCGCTGATTACAGTGTTGAGGTCCTATTTGGTGAATAGTCGACAGTTTGTTGAGATTGAGGGGTTTAGATCAGTTCATTTTGTTCCAACTTCTGGCGTGCCTCAAGGTTCTAACCTTGGATCTCTGCTTTTCAATATATTTATAGATGATCTCGTATCTTCGATCATCTGCAATAAGCCAAAATAAATTGCATCTTAACATCAGCAAGTGTAATGTGGTTTCTTACCACCGCACAAAAACTCCTATAGTCTTTAATTACAATATGGATGATACTGTCCTAACTAGACTTGCTACTGTGAAGGATCTGGGGATTTTATTTGACCAGTCGTTCCATTTGTACCTCACATTACAAAAATGGTTTCCAGTGCAATGCAAATTTTAGGATTCGTAATAACAAATTGCAGGCATTTTTGTAGCTCCGCTACTGTTAAATTGTTATTTAACTGTTACGTTAGGTCCAAGCTTGACTATGGCTCGCTGATATGGTCACCAATTTATAACTGCCACACTCAGTCCATTGAGAGTGTGCAGAGAAGGTTATCCTGAGAGGGGAGTTGATCACGATCTTCTACTAAGAAGGTTCGCTATACTGCCCCTGAGCTTGCGCAGAGACTTGCAATCTGTTTCATTTCTCTATAAGTTAGTTCATTACGGAGTCGATTGTCCATTTCTTCTGGAACAATTACGTTTTCATGTGCCGCGGCTGGAAGGGAGACATCAATCAACTTTCTTACCGCAGTTACCCAGGTCCAATATCCATTTTCAAAACGCTATTTACAATATGTGTGCTACCTTCAACAAACTACCATCGTACTGCGATTTATATTATGATGGTCTCCAGGCCATACTTCAGCAACTTCGAATGGCGTCGGGTTATGCGTACCGATAAGTCTTATCCTTTTCTTTCTCTTTCTCATTCTATCCTTCTTCATTTTTTTAGTTATAAGATTAGTAGATTCAAGATTAGTTTCTACGTCCCCTAGTATATATATTGGATGATTTACATTTAATATTTCCTGTAATTGGGTCATGTTACCTGTTGGAAATAAAGTGCTATTATTATTATTATTTATTAAACATTCGCTCTGCTTTTGACATCAACCTCAAGACTAAAGTGGCGTTAATCAAACTTGTTGTCATAGTATACTATACTACTAGTATACTGTATACTATAGGTGAAATGCAAAGGAAATATAGAAATACGAGAAAATATTCGGAAATATATGCTAATAAAAATAAAGCGGAAATCTTTGAGAATAATATTCGATTTTCATACGCGACCATCAGAATTGACAAATGTCAAAATACCATCGCGATTCGGGTATTTAGAATATGAAGTTAAAAAAATACTAATTGGTGTTTGTTCTTATTCAATTTAAACAGGGAGTTTCTTAAAATCAAACGTAAGGAATGGGTGTTAGTTGAAATGAAATGAGTCAGAATTGAAATAACTTTAAATGCTTGACTAACGCCATGATAAAAACTAAAATTAATTATTTTAATAATTTGCATATCAATCAAATATCGAAATAATAGAGAATTATACAAGAAAAAAGATAATGTTTGAGGCAGTGAATATAAGTGAAGATTTAAGTGAAAAACCTATCTCGTAGATTTATGGGTCTGATTCTCCATTTATATCAATAATACGGATGAAGATATAAACGACTTTAAAACCTTTTTTTTTAACTTATAAAACTTCTGGATTCCTCCTGCGTGGGTTTTTGTTGACTCGACTTGCTAACGTTTCGCCAATCATCCTGTTGGCTTCTTCAGAGTTTGACTCCTGGCATCTCAAATGGAGTTTTGTCTTTGACGGGTCGAAGATGTTGAGAGATTTTTGGACAAGTGGTAAATCTGATTTTGAAGTTATATTTCTTGAGAACTTTTGATCTGTGGTCAGTGATGTTTTGAATGTAAGGAAGTACATCGGTGGAAAGTGTGGGATTGCTTTCGGCTTCATTGCTATTGGAAGGTTGGGATGAAGCTCTGTAAACAAGAGAGTTGATAACCGATGATTTTTGAACCGGAAGGTGATGTGGACAATGCATCGGTCTGTGCGCGTTTTCTGTAAGCACACACCAATATTGGGTCTGATCTTCTATTGATAAGAATACCTAAGAATAGGAGGTTGTTATTAGTTTATAGTTCAATGGTAAAATGACCATAAGGCCGAATAACGAAAGTATCATCGACGTAGCGTTTCCATAATTTTAGTTTTAGATGAAAGGTGTCGAAAGACGGTGTCAAAGGCTTCCATAAATACATTTGCAATGACTGGTGATAGTGGAGAACCCATAGCTGTTTCCAACGTTTGTTCACAAATTTGAATGTTCCAGATAAGCATTTTTCAATTAAGGTGAGAAGGTTTGGTTCCAGCTTCTCGGATTTTCAGGAATAGCAAGTTTAGTAAGGAGGGTTTCTAAACTATCCAGAATATCTTCTGTATCTAATGTAATGCTTTTTAACTGTTCAATGAAGTGAAACTAATTGAGTACGAAACTATCAGTTTTCCCTGTAAAGCGTTTTAATAAGGAAACTAGATATTTTGCTAGAGAATATGTGGGAGAATCAATGGTGCTGAATCTTTAAGAGTCCGTAGAGACGAGGAATTTTAGAGTCATGTGGGGTGGCAGATTTTTTCACGAAGTCTAATAGAGAAGAAGCCGTAACGACAGATTTAAGGTTGCATTCCATAGATGAGGTAGGATCTTTTTTATGTTAATCCATCTGTAAGAATATCTTGAATCTTTTCCTGGTGTTCATGACCACCGTAAAATTTCCTTTAGCTGCTTTTAGGATTACGATCTTGGGATTAGATTTTAGAGATTTTAGGGCAATGCGTTCAGGCTTTGCAATATTAGATTTAGGAGGTTTTGACTTTTTAAGGGTTTTTGCGGTTTCAAATCGAATTTCGTTAGCTGTTCGAGATGGCAGTTTGTTTGGGATAGACTCGACGTTTCAAATGTTTTCCTCTCTTGTGATAATACGTGGGACAAGGACGAAGTTGGAACCTTCTGATTTTTTCGTTTCCTAAAGTTGGTGCGATGATACATTTATCGCAGTGTTTGGTAGTTGAGAAGAGTTTGATGGTTTCCCTAGTGTTGATGTTAGTTTTTCAAATTTCTCAATGTGATTCTGGGTAGAAGATAAACGATATATGTATTGTATTATTGTTAAGTCATTTATTCAAATTTTATGGTTTATGTTTAAATTAAATTTTTGTAAGTCATTTAGATAAAAAGAACTTGTAAAAAATCTTTTTCTACTCCCTTCTGTAAAATTCTTATTTTAACGTAGCCCAGTTTCTTCATTCACAAAACGGTGCTAAAAATATTGCATAAAAAGAAATATCGGAAATATTTAGGAAATATGGACAAATATTGGGGAAATAATTTGGTAATACGAACAAATATAGGGAAATAACATTTTCCCTCTGGGGGACATATCTATGGAAATTTTGGGAGGTTTATCAAGTAGCTTATTTTTAGGCTTCTTTTATGGCTATGTCACTTGAATTTTAACTTTAAGCACAAAACATCTTTTAACGAAATGGCGTCACAGTAGCGCGTTTACAATGGAAGCGTCGGTGACTGAACTGTTAACTCGTTACAAAGAAGCTTACATCGCGGATGATTGAATTCGTTCAACCGTGACGCCAGAATTCACGTGATTGTTTTATTTTCGGTATCAGTGACCACACCTTTTTACTATTTAAGGTTAGGCCCTTTTTGCTTTTTTTATAAACTTTGTATCAAACATTTCATTTGTTCCGATCATATGAATAGGATATACCTTAAGGCTTCTTTATTCCATTGCCTTTCTAATTAGAGATACCAAAAACGAAACGGAAATTAGGACAAATTAGTTCTTATGTAATTTCAATTTGTTTGTCGTCACGTTTAACACTGGACTTATCTAGTATCGTAATTTATTCTCTATTATTAATTCTAAATTATTTAAAGATATAATTAAGAAGTCAACCTGTCCTTATTCGCTTCAACAATCATCATCAAATATGTAATATATTTTGCATGTATGTATAATATTATTTTGGATTTTGTTATTACAAGGGCAGTAATATGGCTGGTTAGTTAATAATACTGGGGCGACTCAGCGTTATGCCTTTTGACTTACTTGCGTAAATTGTAGAAAATAAAATATAGGTGTTTTAAAGTCTTGCCTTACATAATTCAATATACTTTTTTAAGTTCTAGCAGATTTATTTGTATATGTTATGATGATTGTTTAAATTTATTATTATAATTATCGTTATTTATTATAATTATAATAACATTTGTACTGTTTTACTGGTTCACTGTTTGCTTGAAGGTGTGAGACAATGATTCAGTAGAATTACTACGAGACTGTCTAACTTCCATTGTCTTTATTTTTATTTTAAGTAATATCGTCAAATTTGTAAGTTAAAATAAAGATAAAGACCATCCAAGTTCGACCAATCTCTTGGTATTTCTAATGGTTTACTCTTATTTATATACATAATATATGTAATATTTCTATTTTTAAGGCAAAAAAAATCGTTTTTTTCTTATATCTCGAATTCATTTTCAATATGACATATAGGTTTTTTTTAACGGTTTCAACATAACAATCAAATTTAACACTACAGGATTCTAATATAATCATAAACGACATTCATATGTATTGTCTCAAAAATTCGCCGCGTGTTAAAATTGTATTGTTTCAAATATACCGTGAAATGCAATGTGTGGATTTAGGTCTAATTTTCAATTATTCGCCGATATACAGAGTGGTCTCTTTTGCATATTAAACTTCAGAGAGGACACATTTTATACCAACTTTTCTCAAACACCCTGTACGCGTATACATAGACTATATTAATTAGTATAAGTTTTTATCTATGCCTTTGTTATAGAGCCAACACGTTCAAAAGGTCTTTTTAAAATAGTCAAAATACTGTTTTAATTTAACGCGTGTAATACAACCCGAAAACCTGCGTAATATCGCCAGCTTAAATGTTATTACTTGCGTCCGTCCGGGCTCATTTCTCTATTTCTTGCATTTACACAAAACTCGACATGTCCCTCTAAATTAATTCCAAAAAAAACATGAAAACTTTTAGATAATTTACATTTTAATTGAACCATGAATATTTCCATGCAAATCTGAAAAGATTTTGCTGTAAAACTTAATTTCTTAATTTTTGTTTTCTTTTTCAGGGTGTGGTAAATGCCTGTCTACCTCTGGCTCTTCTGTCCGTGTTCGTTGCTGTGTGTCATGCCGCGATTTGCCCGGAAAAGCAGTACCTCAATTCTAAACTACAAATATGCATGAACTGTACGGACTGCAAGGACGGTTCTGTTGTGTTAAGGCCCTGCGAGTTGCACAGAGACACCCATTGCGGTCCTCTAAGTGCTATTAGTGACCTGTTAGATAGTAGTAATAGTAATCATAGGCATCGACATGAGAAATTCAGATCCGACAAACAGAAAACCAAAGGAGTTGTCGAATGGAGGTAAGTACTGTCGCGGCTAAACTGAAACCACGCTTCGAAATATTCACCCAGATCAACAATTTTATTAAATTAAATCAAATTTGGGGAGCACCTAGAATAAAAGCGTCGTCTGCTATCTGCATACGAGACTTTGCATTGAAAAAATCTTTAAAATTTTAGAAATTACTCTTTCAGTATGAGATGCAGACGGTCGATTTAGAACGTTATCTCAATGCTCACAAGTTAAAGATATCTTATTGAAATTGCGGGTTTTAAAATTGAGGCATTTTCCTGTTGACGTTTGCAGCAGTTATTCTTAGATGTTTCTAAATTGGCCATCAAAATTTAGATCGAACACTTGTTATTTTTCAATTTAAAAATAGTAGAACTTTTTTAAAAAATTGGCAACGACGGCAATCTGTAGTTCCCACCTGGTTAAAATATATATAACATGTACTAGCTAAAATTTTCAGACTTATTTTTTACCATAAAATAGCTAAAATCAGCATTTAAAAAAAGAATCATTGTGCTACTGAAAATACCATTATATGCTTTTCGTTGCATTTTTCTAGAATCCGTTTCTTTTAAATTTTAATTTAATTAAAATCAACTGGAAAAGTTCGTTTTATTTGTTTTTTCGAAACGGTAAAAATATATGGAGTTGAAACTAATCTTAAAAAGTGTATAGCCATTTCAATATCAGAACAATATACTCCATATTCTTGAGGGAATTATACAATGCGTAATACAAAGGAATAATGAAACATGCATGACCAGTTTATGAATTGTAACATGGATATGCTATTATTTAATACCTTCTACATTGATAAAACTTATGTTTTATATATATTATGAAATGTTATTTTATAAAAATATAAAATACAGTTTGAACATTCAAATGAAATGTTATTTTCCAATGATCCCAGTAAATCAATCGACTTTGGAACTGACCTCTTACATGATGTAAAGCCTTTGGATTTTCTCATCTGGAGTAAATTTTGAATGTTGTAATATTATTATTTTTATTATTTTTAACTGTCGATTAACCATTATGCTATAGACGGAAGCTATGGACTGGCAATTAACAATTTTGCAATTGATTTATCCCAATCAAGGTGCCCAAAATTTGATGAGAGATTACGCTATTTTAAAAGTTAAACTATTTTTCTAACCAACTAATCAAATTCGATAGAACGATTCTTGTGTTTCCGTTTACCTTGCAAACGATTAACACGAGTTAAAAATGGCTAAAAGGCGCATTGTTTATGATAATGTTGCATCATAATCGGGTCTAGCTTATGATTGTTAAACTTATCATTCGTTGTTGTGATCCACTTAAGGTATGGTGAAGATGTGGATGAGGATGGATCTTCACGCTTGGAAGTACCCGAAGCGATGGAAGTTTCCAGCTCAGAGGCGCCATTTTCTAGAGCGGAGAAGCTCGTGTGGGATTGGCAGGCGATCGCGTTGACATCAGCAGTGTTCGCGTGCATCATGTTTTTTCTCGTTGTCACGATGTATTCGTTGTACCAAGCTAAGCAGTGGAGAAGGCTCAAAGAAAATTTCGAAGCTGGTGAGTTAACTATACTAACTAACATTTCGCATTTCCCTTTTTTAAACATTTTTTATGAATTAAAGATTAATTCTATTTTAAATTATTATTTGGAACGCATAATGAGAAAAAAAGGTTTAATTAAATTGAGTCAACGATAATTTAAAAAAATAATAAAAATGGCGTACCCTATTTTTAAATTGCGTTTTCAATTCAACAACATTTCTTCAACTTTTTTATTAATAATTGATATATATGCAACGGAATTGAATTAGATGCTATAGAGTGTTCAAAATAAACGAATATATTTTCTTAAATGGTACACCATATATATTATTATTCTTCTGAAAGATCTAATAAAAACCTACAACTTTTATATACCCTTCTGTCTAACACTATTGCTATTTTATGCCCTGACAAAACTATGAGCCAACAGTGCTCTGTTAAGATTAAAAAATAAACTGGATAAATAACTTTGTTGGAGCCGTAGATAAAGCAACAAACAGTTATTAGCAATTTTGGTAAAAATAACGGTCAAATTTTAAATTCACAGAAAAAGCGAATAGTATTTCTTTGTTTAAATTAATATCAGAAGATAATTCATAAAAGTGTTTCCCATAGGATGCGAAATTTGAAAATTGGTAAAGAAAACTGTGGATAACATTTAAATTCGTGGTTACATAGTAGATGTGCAATAATTGTAATTCCCAAATATTGAAAATAAATACTTAATAGGTAAAAATTCTAAATTTTCATTGTCATTTTCACCACTTGGCGCACACAATTCAGGTTGCGGATTGTGTGGCTTCGTCGTTTGCAAAATTTTATCAAAAATTGCTCGGTTAAAAGTATCCAGATGAGACGTTTTACTGGTCCACGTCTGAGACATAAACTCATAAATCATTCGTCTAATTGCCAGACACGACAAAAACTGCCGAGGCCACGCGCCACAGAGCCAATAATTTATTAATATATTTGCGACAACTTTTCGCGCCAGTCTCGGCTATTAATAAAACCAAAATACACAAATTTGGTTTACGATAATGCTAAATATTAAACATTCGAAATTTGAATACATGCGGGCTTAAAAGTGATTTTGAGTTCAAGCAGCTGCAAAAATAACTTCGTCGATTTAATAATAGCTTTATTTAAATATTGCAATATTCGGTTCTGCATTGCAAGAAATCATTTACATATGTTATTTGATGATCAAACAATATTTGCCTTACATATTTATACAAAAAACAATAGTGATAGTATTAAAACTTGTTGCGGAAAAAAGCACACAAATTGGTACACTTAATTTCTTTTAATAATTTTCTTTTCTAACGTTTTAAACAAATGCGTCAGAAAAGAGCAGTATGTATGTGTAAAATATATGTATTAAATATTTCTTTGTTTTGCCATTAGTATGAATGTGTATGACAAAGAAAAGAGTACCTAAAACTATCCGTTTTTCTCTAAATCAAATTTGCCTCACTAAAAAACTTGCTCAGTCATCCAAGATGACACACTATGCAATCTGAGAACTGATAGCTTTTTCTACTCCCTTCTGTAATGTACCTAATTATACACCGATCTAGCGTGCAGAAAGAGTCAGGTTACCACATGAGCTTTTTGTCTCACGGATCCGAGCCCCTTCGGACATTTCCGGGGTATTACCGCACAGAGTTAGGAGCAATCGGGTATTTTCGGAGTGAATGTATTCGTGTTGTTATGCAAAAATGTACCCAAAAACGAACGGTTATAGAAAAAGTATAGTATGCAACACGGTTGGTAAACCTTTTAAATCGCTCGTTTATTAAACACTCAAATGCCGTTTACTGCACTTGTTGCAATTATAGTATTTTACAAAAAAATCTTAAATGCAAAAGTTTCGTTGACGTAAGCTTTAGTCTTGTCTGGGTAAACATTAACTTTAGTATTCTAACTATGTTACGTAGTAATATAGTGTCTTTATATTATGTATGTATGTATATTATGCAACAAGTTTGACAAACGCCACTTTAGTGACAAGTTTGTTTTGGAGACGAGCGGAACGAGAAGTTTACAAAACGTGTTTTAGGAAATACTTTAAGACCTTCAACTAAATTGGTGTCCACATACAAAGCAGGTAAGAAAAAAATCTAAAAAAATATTTTTTTAATACATAGCCTTACGGTCACTGTGGTGGAAAAAGATATAGAAACTTTCAGCCAATTATGGCGCCATTTATATAATTATAAAATTTTTAGAACTTCATTTGGCCATTTTGCACAGAATTATTTTCGTTCAGATTCATATTTTTAAATTTTAAAGAAATTTCAAATAAAAGCATGGAAACTTTTATTATTCTAAAGTATTTTACATAAATATGATTTATTATTTTTTTAGCATATCCTCGAGCATCTAAGACGGCCTAGGATTTTGTAGGTATAGAATCAATCAATCAACCGCTCTTATTCAATGATACTAAATACTTTCTGTAGATTTTTAACATTGTAATGCATTCGAATACGATGAGTCAAGACATCCTAAATATGTTTATTGGGGTTTAGATCTGACGATTGGGATAGCCATTCAAGTACAATTATGTTTTTTTCTCTAAACTATTCTTTCAGTAAGTTAGATGCATACATTTGATCACCGACCTTTGTATTGAAATCGTTCCATTTTACCCTATACTTGAATGACTGATCCTGTAGGAATTTGGTACTTGGTCTTGAATCTTGTGTCAACCGGTCTTCTTAATTGTCTACCATCAGATTCAAACAGAGAAAATTTTCTTGCATCACTCCAAAGAACCGTATTTCATTTTGACCGAGACAGATGAGCTCTGCCAAATTCCTTTCTATTTTTCTTTGAGAGAACCGATTTTTTAACAGCAACTCTGTCAAGATATAATCGGTTTCGGGGCTACAGTTTCGATGTTATTATTATAGTTTTATTAATCCTACGAGTCCTTCTTTCAAAATATAAATAAATCCACAATATTTTGTCTGAAATCAGAAGATTAATAACGGCGACTGGGTATGATAAATGTTTTTACATGTTATTTGTACTGTGGAATCTAGACTGAGTAATTTGGAACACGATATATTATAAAAGTTTCCATATTTTCTCCCTATCACACATTTTCTTAATATATGGAATTTAAAAAAGTTCCAGGTTATTTCAAGCATTAATAATATAATGATTAAAAGTTTTCATACTTTTTTCCACCACTGCAACGTAATTTAATTAGAATAATTACAAATCTGAACTATAGAGAGGATGTTAGAATAAAATTTTCTTAATATTATTACATTGCCGAGCGCTTACGTACTTAAATATCTGGTGTACGCTTAAAAAAGTCGAACACATTTCTTACAAGTCGGTGAGGTGCTCCCTTACAAAACACTTAATACGAATAAACTCGTCTTAATATGAGTAGATAAGGCTCATCCATTTTTGTAATAAACTAAAGCCCTCCCAATAAACACGTTCAAAGCGTAGTCAGAGACTTCTTCACAAAGCAAACCTTCTAGAGCTTAAAGGAGTTTATGCTTTTTCAAGACACACAGAAAAGTAGGCGAAGTGTAAGAAAATATTTCCAACTCTTCTACATACGAATATTGTGATAGAATAATAGTAATCTTAAAACACTCCTCGCGCAGCCACAACAATAATATTCAGCGAACGTTAGTGAAACGACTGGCATGCAATTGATACTAGTTTCGCAACAAAGGTCGTTTTTCTTTGAGTGACCCACATAAAGCTTCTTATTCTCTTTACCGCGGTGGTGAAACTTTCTTAAAAAGGACTGTGACGCTGTGTTGTAAAAGCATGTTATTTTGCTTTACCATAACCCATAAATTTGTTGCTTGTTTCACAATACGTCAGTCAGCGAAAACTTTGTTAGTAATTATTAAATATTTACATGATAAACTTTTGTTGCTGATGAAAACAATTTCGCTGACAGTGATTAATTCGGAAGATCTCTCGTTACAAGTTTAGGTTTTGGTGAATTGCCTAGGGCTTATTTTTGATTAATGACTTGGAAAGCTATGTTCGCTTAGCCGAACCGTTCTTTCAAATGCAACAGTGATTGTTGTTAGAGTTATTGCGAAATTTATTTCGATCTGTCTTAAATCTTAAAACTTGAGCGCGGATTTCTTTTTGCGAATTAGATTAAAAGTGAAATGAGATCGCCATTTAATTTCGGGAGCGTTGTAAACGTAAAAAGTGAATAAAAATTAATAGTGCATTTAAAAAAAATAACGGTAATATCTCCCGTTGAAAAATGCTGCCCTTACAATTCATACTTTTCAATCGGATAGTTTGTAGTAGAAACAACGTAAAATATCTGATACTAATTCATTTTTATGCGGTGGTTGTAAAAAAAGGGTAAGTTGCGTCCATGGTATCCGGTACCCACCCAAAAGATTGTGGTGTATTGGCAATAACACAATTTAGCGGACTAAAGCCATTGTATTATTATTATTATTACACATTCAAACAATCCAAATAAATTTATTGTAATCCAACATCAGCAATACGTAGGTACTGATCTCGTCAGGCAGTTTATTGATCTGATTATCACAAATCAGTATACTAATGGTCAAGTTAAGTACCACTTTGTGAGAAAATTTAAAATTAGTCTATTAAAAATGAAAAAAAAATCTTTGGTTTATATCATATTACGCAACAAAAGTGGTAAACGGCATATGAGTCACGAATTATCAAACGTGTTGCATTCTATACTTTTTCTACTACCGTTTATTTTTGGGTACATTTTTGAAAAACTACACTAATACATTCACTGACAGACAAATGTAAAATATTTTAGAATAATAAAAGTTTCCGTAGTTTTATTTAAAATTTCTTTAAAATTTAAAAATATGAATTTGAACGAAAATAATTCTGTGCAAAATGGCCAAATAACGCTCTAAAAACATTATAATTAAATAAATGGTGCCATAATTGGCTGAACCAGAAATGATCATACCATTAAAAACTTTCTGTACCAAATTTTTCGAAGAAACTTCCACAGGCTAATGTAA